TAGCCGCCCCCCAGCAGGCGGTCACTGTTCTGGAAACAATAAACCGTGGTGGGCCCTGTATGGGTGGCCTCTCCTTGGTGGTGGCGCGGTTGCCCGACAGGGGGCAGGCCAGGCCCGCTGGAGAAGGGGGCCGGCCGGGGGAAGGTTCACAGCTGCCTGCACCAGGAGGTCACCAGAAGGCCACCAGAAGGCCTGAAGACGGTTTAATGAGCCAAGCCCAGGCCCTCAGTGAGAAGCTTTCTTCCCCTTCTTTTTCACCTTGGGCTTCTTGACCTTGCCGGGGGTGCTTCCCTGAGTCGAGTCTGCAGGGCGGGGCTGTGCCTATAGGAGAGGAGAGGGGGTTCCTTGGTGAAGGGGTTGCCCAGATTCCGGCTGGCCCCTGCCCTGGCCCGCAGCACCCGTCTGGGAGGGACAAGCATTTTACCTTCGCCTCCATGTCAGAGCTGCTGGAGCTGCTGGAGCTGCTGTCAGAATCTGAGGAACTGCCGGGGCCATGGCCATGCTAGTTGAAAGCATAACAGTGAGGCCGAGGTCCCCCCAAGCTGAAAGCCCGAGTTTGAGGCTCATCAAGGCCCTGGGGTCAAAAGCACCCCCATTCCACTATATACCCCATTCCTCCATGGATGTGCCCTGTGGAGAGGTGATTTGCCCTGGGCCAGCTGCCCCTGTTTCTGACAGACCCTGAATTTTGGGGGAGCTGTGGTTGGGGTCCCTCACCTGGCCTGCCCCCTTAGGCTTCTTGGAGGTGGACTCCAGGGCTGCTGAGAGAAGTTGGCTGGATTGGCACAGGGAATGTCTCCTGCACTTCAAGGCCCCCACTCCCAGGAGCACAGGTCCAACTTTATATGGTGAGAGAGGTGTGTCCAAAGTAGACACAGTTCACTTTGTTCAGAGTCCTTAGCTCTGACTCACCCCCTCAGCACCGCCCAACTTCTCTGTGGGCAATGGGGAGGGTGGACAGTTAACTGCAAACCAAAAATCCCACTCCCCTCCAGCCTTGGCAAATGAGGTTGGGCTGTATGGATGGGGGTTGGGGTGGGCAGTTGCAGATTTCTGGTGAGGGTACTAGAGCTGTCATCAGCTTCCCCTAAAAGTGTCAGATGCCTGCTTTTGAAGAAAGGGGAGGGAGGGAGGGTGGCTCCCTGTGACGTGGGTGCCGTGAGAACACTATCAGTCCCTTGGTGCTTACTGCGTGCCAGGCACTGTTCCAAGAGCTGCACGGACATTACTTTAACAACCCCTCTGTGGCTTGGTGACAAGCAGTCTAAAAGGGTGAAGAGTGTGAACTTGGGACCAACCTGCTGACTTTAAAGTCCAGCTGTACCACTTGGTAGTGGGGTGATCTGGGGAACTAACTTTGCATCCCTGTGCCTCAGTTTTCTCATCTGTAAATGACAGCTACCATATGGGATAAAGAATCAGATGGATTAGTTTCCTAGATCTGTACCTGGCACAGAGTAAATGCTTATGAAACATTGTTTTGGCTTTTTAAAAATAAAAGGTAGATATTGTTACTATCCCTGTTTTACAGATGAGAAAACTGAGGGACCAAACAGTTAAGTAAGATGACCAGGGGCAAGTGCAGCAATAAACGGACTAAAGCTGTGATTCATACCCAGGCAGTGTGGCTCAGGTCTGCAGTTGTCCCTGGCCCCTCCATCTCACCCTGGAGGGTGCTCAGGGGAAGGGGCAGCCAGCAGAACCCAGCCTTCCCTCCCCACAGTGGGCTGGACCCAGGTAGGCTGGGGGAGGAGCTGGGGAAGAGCCAGGCTGAGCCACCTGCTTCCTTTACTGTCAGGCTAAATGTCCTTTGGAGTTTCTCTCCAGCCCAGCCCAGCACTGCCAGCAGCTGGACAACCTGCACCTACAGCAAGTGACTGGGCCTGGGGATGACGACGACTGTGCAGTAATCAGCCTTGTGCACTCAGGGCTCTGCTCCAAAGTCCATTCCTTAGAGGAGCCTGCCCTGACTGCCGGCTCCACAGAGCCCGTCACCATCTCCTCCTCCCTGCCTGATGGCCAGCACAGCCCCTGCTGCTATCTTTATTTTCACTCATTCCAGCAGCATATATTTATCGAGTACCTTCTGTGTGTCCAGCACAGTTCAAGAGCTGTACAGAGGTGAACAAAATTTCCAGCCCTCTTGAATTGACATTCTATGGGGGAAACAAAGTAAAATGTATAGAACGTTAGAAAAACAAACACACACTGGAGACTAAAATGACCATTGGTTGGTGAATGGATAGGCAAAAGGTGATATATCTTTAGAACAAAAAGGATGAACTGACACGTGCCACATCGCAGGTAAAAGGAGCCACGCAGAGATTACCTGTTGTATGACAGCATTCATGTGATGTACTCACAGAAGGCAACTAAAGAGACAGTGGGTTGGTGGCTGCTGAGAATTGAATGGGAATGGGGATTAACTGTAAATGGGCAGGAGGGATCTTGGAATGGTAGTGGGAGAAAATGTTCTAAAACTGATTTATGGAGAGTTGCACCACTTGGTAAAGTTATTAAACACCACTGAATTGTACATTTGAAAGGGGTGAGTTTTATGTAACTTATACCCCAATAAAAGCTATTCTAAAAAATAGTATGTGCTGTCTGGCCAGATGTGGCTCAGTGGTTAAGCACTGACCTATGGTCCAGGAGATCACAGTTGATTCCCTGTCAGGGCACAAGCCCAGGTTTGGGCTCGATCCCCAGCGGGGGGCATGCAGGAGGCAGCCGATCAATGACTGTCTCATCACTGATGTTTCTCTCTCTCCCTTTCCCTTCCTCTCTGAAATCAATAAAGATATATTTAAAAAATAATATTTTCTAAGAAGAGAAATGTAGCCCAGCCGGGCGTGGCTCAGCAGTTGAGCATCAACCTAGGATCCAGGCGATCGGGGTTCGATTCCTGGTCAGGGCACATGCCCGGGTTGTGGGCTCCATCCCCAGTTGGGGAAATGCGGGAGGCAGCTGATCAATGACTCTCATCATTGATGTTTCTATCTCTCTCTCTCCTTACCTCTCTCTGAAATCAATAAAGATATATTTAAAAAAAAAAAAAATGTAGCAAGAAAGGGGACTAGGTAGTAACTGTGTGGTATGTTGGGGAGGGGTTGCACTTTAGGTGGAGTTGCTG